AATGGTTTTATCAGAGTCCATACAGATGTTCAAACGGCTACTAGATGCATACTTGCAAGAACAGAATATTCAAGGATATAATCTTTCAATGTAGGGTAATAACTGCTTGATCCAAGGATAAATCTGACTGCCATTCTGGGGTCAAGAAGGAATTTTTTTCCTAGCTTGTTGCAAAATTGTACTTCAAACTGTTTTTTTTTGCCTTCTTTTGGATCAACAGCAAAAAACAAATGTGAGGAAGGAACTTGATGGACGCAAGTCTCTTTTCAGCTATGTAACTATGTAACTAAATATAAGGTTTTTTTTCACATTGAAATTCACCAGATTGGTTATGTTGCCTTTGAGACCATATTGTAGCCCAGGAATAAGAATTACCCCCATGATGGCATACCATTTGCAACAGTAGACAACCCAAGGTATTGTAAATGGGGTATGTCCAATTTTTTTTAGAAGCCACTTAGTCACAAACACTGATTAAAATTGGCGTTCAAATTAGTTTTTTGCATTTTTCACACACAAATATTAACACTAACTTTGACCAATCTGGCGAATTTCAATGTGAAAACAATGAAAAATGTAACATGTTATATTTGACTCTGTAACTTCCCAAAACACTGCAACGGACCGTTTTGCCCAAAAGAGGTTAAAAACCGTTTAGGAGATATTCCCCTTTTTCAGCTGCACCGACAGCTACTGCAAGCACCAATCTCCTGAACTGCAAACCCACGAATTCCCCAACTCCCGAACTGCAACCAAGGGAATACTCTAAACTCCCGAACTGCATACTAAGGGAATACTCGAAACTCCCGAACTGGAGACACACGAATAGCTGCTAGCAGACGAACAGGAAAAGCCCCCAAGCGGCTTACACTCCTGGCAATCAGTCTCTAACAGCATACAGTAAATCCTCCCCCAATAATGAGACGACACTTCACTTTGAGGGTTAAGCAGGAACTATTTTACTTGGGCTAACTGCCCGGCTTTTATGCAGGTCTCCCACCTGGTGGACACTCCCCGAGGGGACCAAATGGGAGACTGGGACACAAAGGGTAAAAGGACCAATCACAGACTTACACATTTCAACCATCCCACAATGCATCACAATCCCTCCTCTCTGCCCTGGAGATAATTTGGGAAGTAATTCAATTATCTCCAAAGACAGAGGCAAAACTCCATTAACCACATGGCAGAAAACAAACAGTAAAAGACATAAAATTACCTACAGTTACATTCAGTACATAAAACATATATGTTCTACATATCCCCAGATAGCTCAGGTCTGAGCGCACATTATTAAGCGAATGGCGCTCAGACCACACGAATACAGTTTAATCGCCATGGAGCCAAAGTCTTTACACAGTCAGTTTCATGCAAATGGGCTCCATGGGATTCCTATCTGGGGCACAACACACTCAAACCAAACTACCGAACACCGGGCCGTTCAAGAAGGGAGGTCGGCGGCTTCAGCGGTGTTCGCGCAAAACTGTGTCCGATTTCAGTTCCATGAATTAAGCGTCGAACACCGCTGTGCATTCGCATGTTTAACATGGCCACGACCTCGTGTTCGTGATACAAATGGCGGCCACCCAGCATTCGTCAATTAAGCTGCGGTTAACCGCAGCTTCAGGGAGGTTAATTGCCTACACACTCCAGCTCCCAGGTGGTCTATTCATTCGTGCGGTTGAACACCCGGCAGAAAAGCACGAATAAGTCTTTTCTGCAGGAAAAAAAAGATGTCTTTTAACATGGGGCCATAGTCCAAAGGCAGCAGGCGAGCAACCAGGCTTCTCCACTGTACAGTGGCGAGGTTGGTTTCGCCACAAATACCATAAAACCTGTACATAAGGGGTACTGTTTTACATGTGAGACATCACTGAATACAAATATGTGTATTTTATTGCAGTAAAAGCAAACAGTATTATGACATTCACAGTTAAAATGTCATGTAGAATAAATAGTTTATTCATATAAAATTATGTTTCATAGCTAAATATTTGATGTTAAATGAAAGCCTTCTTTCCCCTGAATAAAATTATATATAGTGTGGGTGCACTTAATATGAAAGAGGTGAATTACGGTTGAACAGACATATAGTCAAATTCCAGGTTTTGTTTACGTTTTGTTTTGATCAGTCCTTAACCCGGTCCGTCATGGCGGGGAAACCGTTAACGCCGAATGACGGACCGGGTCTGTCATGCGGTAAAGTTAACCCCAGATCGCCATAATCGGCAAGAGGCAGACCAGGAGCACCTGATCACGCTACCCCTGCAGCAGTAATCGCTCTGACAGGCTGTCAAAGCGAGCACATGTGCTGCAGGGACTCACGATCCGCCTCCCTGTTCTTCCGTGGTCAGTGTGAAGTGCAGGTTGACGGATCACTGCTGATCTTCTCCCTGTTAAAAATAAATAAAGTTAAAGTAAAATCCCACCCTCCTTTCCACTGCTTTAATAAAATTAACCCCTTCCCTGCCAATTGATCACTGACTACCTGTGATCAATTGGCAGGGACTACATTTTACTGTGATATGATTTTTTTTTTTTTTAACCCCTGAGGGTTAACTTTTTGTGTAACCTCAGGGTTTAATTTTATTAATTAATTTATATATATTAAAATGATATATTTAGCTAGCTGGAATGGGTGGAAGTTAGTGTGGAATAGGGGAATTTGATGTTAGGCTAGCTAGGGGTTAAAGTTAAAAAAAGTTTTTAAAATGTTTTAAAAAGCAAAAAAAAAGTTTTAATAACGTTTTTAAAAAAAAGTTTAAAAAATCCCATCCTGGGGGGCGGAGCCTGACAAGCAAGCGAGTAAGACGTGCTCTGCTTGAGCTCCCGCCGATCAGAACACTTACAGCCTAAAATCTGGGAGTGGGGGGCGGAGCCAGCGCCTAAACAAGCAAGTCGCAACTCACCACAGCTCCGAGCGTGAGACCCCAAAAAGGGATATCCAAGCGACACAAACAACCTCTGGGACCCGACAAACAGATCCCCAAGACACCCTACATCATGGGGAAAAAAATGAAGAAGAGCAGAGCAGATCCTGGCTCGGGGTCAAAAGGTATAGGCACTTTTATGCGCCCAACACAGCAGCAAGTGCCCGGCAAGATGGCGCCGATAGAGGCCTACAACTCACAGTCATCAGATGACAGTGTACTAGATTCCTTCCACGCTTCCAGCAAGGTACATGCTACACCCCAGCAGCCTAAAGAGCTAGGCGACACAGCAAGCCGACATTAAGACACTGACGTTAAATATCAAGGCGATGTTTGACACCGACATGGCGATTGTCCGAGGGGAAATCTCCACGCTCTCAAGCCGGGTGGTCTCCATTGAGGAGTCCCTCGGAGGCGCAAGAGTGGCACAGGTGGCGACAGACACTGCTCTGGGACTGTTACAAAAACAATGTGCAATGCTGACCGCTCAACTAGCGGGAATGGAAGACAAAACTAAAGCCCGAAACCTGCGAATCCAGGGTATACCTGAATCGGTGGGAAACCTGGAATTACCACAATATTGTAGGAGTCTTGTGGCAACCTTACTGACTCCCAAGCAAGCGAAGCAGGTAGGGATTGACACCTGCTTTCGCCTCCTCAAAGCGCCACAGGAAGCACCAAGGGACGTGCTGATTAAATTTGTCCGGGACTCCGATCAGGGGGCTCTCATGGTAGCCGCGAGAGGCTCTCCTACCATCACGTTGAGGGAGCAAGTTTGACCCTATACAGAGACTTCTCAAGGTACACTCTCACCTGGCGCAGATCTCTCCACCACATCACCTTGCTACTGCGTGAGAACTCTATCCCCTATAAATGGGGCCCTCATCGTTTAACCACAGAGCACGCTGGTAAGACGACCCACCTGACACACATATCTGAGGCGCCTAAGTTTCTCCAGTCACTGGGACTCCCGTTACCTGCAGCAGCAACAAGGGCCAGCCCATCATGGAACATCGATTAAATAACTCCCTTTGTGCCCAGAGGAACTGTGCCGAGGATGACGGATTCCTTAACATGAGAAAAGCGACCGCACATGCAAGTGCACCTGTGCAATGTCCTAGTTCCTTTACTACAGTTCCCTTTACGACTTTCCTTTACTACAGTTCCTTTTGGTCTTTCTACTCACCTTAAAAGCAGTTGTTTTTTGGTTTTGATCCTTTTTTAAGTTTCTTACGCTCTCTAAGGCATTAAAGGGTTTTTTTAGTTTATGAAGGCTACAGGGCATCAGACATACTTAAAACTCTGGCTCCGTAAGCAGACAACCACCAATCCTGGACAAGCAGACTTGCCCCCCCCCCAACACAAAGCATATACAGAGATCCGAAATGCTACTTACAGGCTCCCCAATGGGAAACATCCCGTTTGTTATGTAAGGGCCTGCACCACACCTTTCAATGGCCAACGGCCATAATAAACACCCTCCCTTACCCAATAATACACGTGCCTAAGCTGAGCCTACTGCCCCAACATTCCTAAGCAGAGCACATAACGCTGTCTGCTAGCCCCTCTGAGATGTCGCACGTCTTAACGGTTTCTAGCACGGGGGATAAAAGCAGGGTTTTACCTATTAAAAACCGGGTGGCAAAGTTTCTGTGCAGTTATACCTGTTATATGATGACTATCTCAAATGTATTTCATACATGTTATTTCCTCTTTTGCACATACTGTACTACGTGTTTAACTCTCGTATACCCACAAAAATAAAGAATTAAAAAAAAAAAATCTGGGGGTGAAACGCAGATGGACCCGCATACTGCGGCTATATAGCTTGGGGAACCCAGCACACACCCGCAGACACCTGACTTGCCACCCAGAATGTCTGGGATGGACAGGCTGGGAAGGCGGCCGCTTCCCGCTCACCACTCTGGGCCACAGGCAAGCACCAAGCATCCTCCCCCCCATGGAACGGGGGGGATATCCCGGTCCCCGCCACACGGAGCTGGCCCTGCCACATGCCTGCAGTCGGAGCCGACAGCCGAAACCAACAGACCAGAGGTGAGGGCCTCCAAAATGGCGGACACAAGCGACTGCAAAACTCGTGGCATGCAGCAGCAGCCTGCAACACCCATTCACAACCCTAAAGTGAGCAAGATGTAGGTGAAGCAAAGCGGGGAAACTAACCCACACAGCCTGTCCAAAATGGCCACCCAACCTATGCCTGAAATGTGGAGCACCATCCTCAAGACACACAGGTCCTCACTGGAAACCTTTGATTGGCTCTGCGCAGGCCTCAGGGAGGCTTTACACAGCCGGGGAGTAACTCACCGCCAAGCTGAATTAACGGTGGCCTCATGGAGGCGCAGCTACTATATGCAGATACCACAAGCCTCCAAGATGGCCGTCAGGCATAACAGATACCGCCGGGCCTCGAGGCGGGATGTAGCACCAAACCCCCCATGCTCACGAACCCAACAGCACACAAGAAACACTGGGGCTACGAACCAATCGACGCCCACACATACCCAACCTGACCGAAACCCCGGCGATAAGCGCAACACGACACACACCTCCCTATACAAGGCAACACCGCAAGCGACCAGGTGACTGCACCACATGGGGGACATTACCGGAGCAGAACCCCAAGGGGGAGACACCTGGCCCTGTGGCAGCAAAGACGAGTCCAGTAGACACAAAGCACAGGACTTACCATCACTGGGTGTAGGCTGAAAAGCCTAGAACACTGCCTCACAGGGGTAATCTTAGCCTGGACTGATCTGAATTCTCATAACAGCGGAATACCCAGACGCAGAAATATAACACAGGTCACATGTGGACAATATCCCCATGATAACGCAGGACACACTGCACAATGCTCTTGAAGGTTATTTGCCCAGCTAATTAACGGCAAAGAATAATTTTATGTTTAGTTACTTAAGATAAAAAAGTCTGTATTTACATTTAGCTTGTGTAGCGAAGTAACCTCACATAGTAGGCACAATACTGCACTATTATTTGCTTCTCATGACACAACAGCCTACACAAGTGCAGCACAAGCAGCACACATATCAAACACATGCCTGTTACCTTTATAGTATAAATCATAATACCATATTACTATTATGGCAGCATAAATAACATACCTAACCTAGCACTGTTAAGCAAAAAACAAAGAATAGAGTCAGCGCTAATATATCAGAAAGAGATACAAAAGGCAGCAATCCCAAACAAGGACTCCCTCACGTGTCCTTGAAATGAATACGGAAGGCAAACAAACAAAAGGATGGGACTGCGCCAGTGAGCAAATTTAGTGAAATTAAAAGTCCTGGTTGAGGTAGAAATATTGAAATAGAGTCCAGTATAATGAAACTTTGGTCTTATGTTGGTCTCTGAAGTTGTAGAATTTCGCTCCTTACAGGTATATGGAGGAGGATGATGAATGATGAAAATAATGGTGGTAAAGATACCAAAAGGTATCCAAATAAAATAGAAGAGATAATACTTACTTTTTATAGAGCTTAATCCAGCTCTGGTATGAATAGCTTCCAGCGGTATGCGGGATATGCGGTGAGTCTCCTCTTCGGTGTAGTGACAGACAGCCAGGGGGAAGATAAAACAAAAAACGGTGATGGTGCAGTATGTTCCAAAAGTGGATAAGAAGTATTTAAATATAGTAGGTACACTCAGGTTTAATAGGCATACAGCGGTATGATCCCCGCCTCTGGGATATATGGTGAGCGTTCTTTGAAATAGTTCTTTAAGATGGTAACAGGAGCTCAGGGAGAAGATAATAAAACAGCAATAGTGCTCTCAGTAAAATAATGCTGGTATATAAAATATAATATATACTCACAATGTATAGGGCAGGCTAACTGCTCTATGGTATAGGCACGGGTGGTATAATCCCCACCTAAGGATTCTTTGGAGTATAGGAGATAATAGGTAAAAAGCCAGGTAATTATAATAAAAAATTAAATATAAAAAAATAAATAAAAGATAATGGTGCAAAAGAATAAAATGACCAAAATCTATTTATTAACAGTAATTAAAAAGCAGTACAATATCCAAACGCGTTTCACCAATATAGGCTTTATCAATGGATTGGGACAACTTTGAAAATTGCACCAAAACTGCTCTGACCAATCACAAAGCAGATTGTGATTGCACACAAATAACAGCTGTAAACCTTCATGAGTACATAGACATAACTAATGGGATGTGGAATATATAATTGTGATATAACAACGAGGTTATAATAGAGAGAATTTTCTTCATATTAACTGAAACATGTGACGCGCGTCATAAGTGCGACGTCACTTCCGGTCGCTCGGTATTCTGGGGCATGTAGTTGTATCATGAACTACATGCCCAAGCCGGAAGTAAGCTTCATTCATTGCCCTCCTCCATATACCTGTAAGGAGCGAAATTCTACAACTTCAGAGACCAACATAAGACCAAAGTTTCATTATACTGGACTCTATTTCAATATTTCTACTTCAACCAGGACTTTTAATTTCACTAAATTTGCTCACTGGCGCAGTCCCATCCTTTTGTTTGTTAGCACTGTTAAGCGTTGATTATTTCAGCTTGTTCTAACGATTTTATTGCGCAGCCAAGCTTGTTATTGTTATAACTATATAAAAATGTGCAACTCCTCATGCCACTGTATAACTTGAATACATCTATGAACATGCTGTTGTGGCGTATGTCGATGCTATGTAACAACATGCACAACAAAAATAAAGAATATTAAAAAAAAAGTTTTAAAAAGTAAAAAAAATACATTTAAAAATGCTCATTACAACCACACCTGGAAAAAACTAGAGAAAAAATGATCCCATGCTTAGGTTCAAAATATGCCTTTTGAATTACCCCAGGTTGTATTCTTTAATAAATAGTATGTGTTTGAGGGGAAGTTTGAATAACCAACCAGCTAAACTACTCCAAAATGGAACATCGTAAAACTTCAACGTTAGAAAAAAAACTGAATGCCTGCGTCTCAAATGTGCCCCTTCAGCATCCACACATACCTGGCAAAGGTACATACGGGGGGTATTGCTGTACTCAGACGACATAGCTGAGCAGCATATGTATATGCTGTGCAAACTCACTTTGTGTGTCAAAAAGGCAGAAAAAACAATTATTACCACTACAGTTGGTACAAGCTAGCGGAAAAATGATCCCATGCCAAGGTTCAAAATATGCCTTTTGAAATACCATGGGATATCTTCGTTAAGAAATGGTATGCCTTTATGGGGTATTTGGATTATATAGCCTGCTAAAATACTCTAAAATGGGACACATGGACACAGTTTAAAAATTCTAATTTTGAAAAAAAGTGGAATGACTGTGTCTCAAATGTGCCCCTTCCATTTCCACATATACTTGGCAAAGGTACATATGGGGGTATTGCTGTACTCAGATGACATAGCTGAGAAACATATGAAGTATTATACAGTCGTAGCACGCATAAGGTTTGCAAAATATACTGTGCAAACTCACTTTGTGTGTCAAAAAGGCAGAAAAAATGCTTATTACCACTACACTTGGTACAAGCTAGCGGGAACATAATCCCACACTAAGGTTCAAAATATGCCTTTGAAATACCCAGGGATTTCTTCTTTAAGAAATGGTATGGCTTTATGGGGTGTTTTGGATTATATAAATACTCTAAAATGGGACATGGACACAGCGTAAAAATTTAAAGTTTGAAAAAAAATGGAATGGCTGTGTCTTAAATGTGCCCCTCCAATGTCCACATATACCTGGCAAAGGTATATACGGGGGTATTGCTGTACTCAGCCAACATGGCTGAGCAACATATGAAGTATTATACAGTCGTAGCACACATACGATTTGGAAAATATACTGTGCAAACTCACTGTGTGTGTCAAAAATACAGAAAAAATGCTTATTACCACTACACTTGGTACAAGCTGGCGGAAAAATTATCCCAAAATATGCCTTTTGAAATACCCTGGGATGTCTACTTTAAGAAATGGAATGCCTTTATGTTGTAGTTGTAATATGTAGCCTGCTCGAGTGCTCCAAAGTGGGACACGGACGCATCAAAACCCTCCATAAAAAATTCACACTTAAAACCTGAACTTGCCACGTGTTTTACAGCACTGTAACTTCACAAAACAGTGTCTAGGTCATACATTGGGCATATTGTTTTACTCAGAAGATATAACTGAGCATAATTTGGGGATTTTTATGACAGTGGTACATATTAAGTGTAAGAAATACTCAGCAAAAATGCAACATATATGTAAAAATGCCATTTTTTTTCCCCCTCACCACAAACATTGACATAAATTGGTGAAAAAATGGTGACAAGTTAAGGCACAATATATACCATATAAGATACCCTGGAATGTCTGCTTTATCAACTAAAAGTCCTTTGTGGGGTTATTTGAACAGTCACACTGCTATAATACCCTAACATCGTCCCGTCAAATCCATCTACAAAAATGCTAACTATAGAAACAGAAATAGCCTTGTCTCTTATATGGCATTGTAGCTTTACAGAAAAATGCCAAAGGCATACAATGGGGGTATCGTTATACTCAGCAGATGTAGCTGAACACAATATGGGGCTCTGTGCAGGAATAGCACACACCAGTAGGCATGTGCATGGGGAAAATATTCGGCTCGGCATTCCGAAATTCGGGACTTCGTCAATGCGGGACTTCGGAACTTCGGCAACTTCGCCACTTCGGAACTTCGCCACTTCAGAACATCTGCATCTCAGAACTTAGGTACTTCGTAACTTAGACACTTCAGAACTTAGACACTTCGGAACTCTGGCATTTCGGGACGTCTCTTGCAGCCGTTTGGTAGATAACTCCCTAATTCCCACGCTATTAAGGAGTTATCTACCAAATGGCTGTACGACCTAAATTGATCTTTCAGCCAAATTTACTAATACTAAGTAAAAATTACTTAGTATTAGTAAATTTTGCCCCTACTCGCTATACTGCAGGTAGGGGCATGTCTATTAAACAGTGAGCAAAAAAAATTGTCCTAATGTCCTCCCCCTGGCCTCCACCCCTGAGCGGTGGGTGGGGATCCTAAATAAAAATGGGGGGGAACCTAATGTCCTCCCCCTGGCCCCCACCCCTGAGCGGTGGGTGGGGACCCTAAACTATAAAAAGGGGGGGACCTATTGTCCTCCACCTGGCCCCCACCCCTGAGCAGTGGGTGGGGGACCCTAAATACAAATTGAGGGGGGGACCTATTGTCCTCCCCCTTGGCCCCCACCCCTGAGCGGTGGGTGGGGGCCCTAAACTAGAATAAGGGGGGATTTAATGTCCTCCCCCTGTTCCCCACCCCTGAGCGGGGGAAGGCTTATTACTTAATCCACCAATCAGAGAGTTATGAGTCAAATTACACAGCGTGGGAAAATTCCAAATAACTTTCCCACGCTGTGTAAAATGACATAGAGCACTCTGGTGGATTTCAAACCAACCAATCAGAGTGCTGTGACAGGTAAATGTACACACTTACCTGTCAGTCTTTTCATTTACCTGTCAGAGCACTCTGATTGGATGGCTTAAACACACCAATCACAGTGCTTTTTTTTTTTTATTGCGTCAGTTATTATGGATTTTCATTTGGCCTTTTTTGGGGCTGAAAAAAGAAGATTTTAGAAGAAAGAAAACATCGAATGGTAAGTTTATTTGTATTTTTGCAGGTACTTAGTTAAAGTCCCCTCCCCCATTATTTTTAGGGTGAGGGGGGTAGGTAGGGGTTCATTTTTGGGGGGAGGGTTGACTAGGGATTTGGTGACCCCTAGTCACCTGGGGTTGAGGGGGGTTACATTTGTATTTAGGGCCCCCACCCACCGCTCATGGCTGGGGGCCAGGGGGGAGGACATTAGGTCCCCCCCTTATTATGGTTTAGGGCCCCCACCCACCTTTCAGGGCTGGGGGCCAGGGGGGAGGACATTAGCTCCCCCCAATTTGTATGTAGGGCCCCCACCCACCGCTCAGGGGTGGGGGCAATGGGGGAAGACATTAGGTCCCCCCCCTTATTATGGTTTAGGGCCCCCACCCACCTTTCAGGGCTGGGGGCCAGGGGGGAGAACATTAGCGCCCCCCAATTTGTATGTAGGGCCCCCACCCACCGCTCAGGGGTGGGGGCAATGGGGGAAGACATTAGGTCCCCCCCTTATTATGGTTTAGGGCCCCCACCCACCTTTCAGGGCTGGGGGCCAGGGGGGAGGACATTAGCTCCCCCCAATTTGTATGTAGGGCCCCCACCCACCGCTCAGGGGTGGGGGCAATGGGGGAAGACATTAGGTCCCCCCCCTTATTATGGTTTAGGGCCCCCACCCACCTTTCAGGGCTGGGGGCCAGGGGGGAGAACATTAGCGCCCCCCATTTTGTATTTAGGGCCCCCACCCACCGCTCAGGGGTGGGGGCTGGGGGCAGGACATTAGGTCCCCCCCTTATTCTTGTTTAGGGCCCCCACCCACCTTTCAGGGCTGGGGGCCAGGGGGGAGAACATTAGCGCCCCCCATTTTGTATTTAGGGCCCCCACCCACCGCTCAGGGGTGGGGGCTGGGGGCAGGACATTAGGTCCCCCCCTTATTCTTGTTTAGGGCCCCCACCCACCGCTCAGATGTGGGGGCCAGGGGGAGGACATTAGGTCCCCCCTTATTCTAGTTTAGGGCCCCCACCCACCGCTCAGGGGTGGGGGCCTGGGGGAGGACATTAGGTCCCCCCCAATTTGTATTTAGGGCCCCCACCCACCGTTCAGGGGTTGGGACCAGGGGGGAGAACATTAGGTCCTCCCCCCTATTCTTGTTTAGGGCCCCCACCCACTGCTCAGGGGTGGGGGTCAGGGGGGAGGACATTAGGTCCCCCCCCCCCAATTTTTATTAGGGCCCCCACCCACCGCTCAGGGGTGGGGGCCGGTGGGGAGGACAATAGGTCCTCCCCCCCTTTTTACTTTAGGGCCCCCACCCGCCTCTCAGGGGTGGGGGTGGGGAGGGGGGGCAATAGGGTGGCCTTTTTTTTTTTTTTAAACAGTGAGCAGCCACAGGCTACTCACTGTTTAATAGGCTTGCCCCTACTTGCGATATAGCGAGTAGGGGCATAATTTACTAATACTAAGTAATCTTTACTTAGTTTTAGTAAATTTGGCTGAAAGACCAATTCAGGTAGGTAGATAGCTCCCTAATACCGTGGATACTTGCAATACGCGTTTCGTCTAAATAGGCTTCCTCAGTTGCATTGAAGCCTATTTAGGCGAAACCCGTTTTGCAAGTATCTGATTTTACCAGCCTGCACATTGAGCCTAATGTTATTGGCTCTGTACTTGTGAGTACAATACCTACTGATATCTATACATGTCCTTGTACCAGAATATATTGCACTAGGTTGTGTGTTTTTTTAATATATATTTTCAGCTGTCTGTGATACCTACAACCAAGGTCTACCTCACACTCTACCTAATTTGTATGTATATATTTTGCTTTATGTGTGATTAGAGAGGTAATCACATAGGTGTGTTAGAGTGTGGTGGTATTCATTTGTCAGCACATATTGGGACTATGTATTGTGAGTTAAATCCACATAAATTAATTAATTTTTATTTACTTTTTCTAAGCTGTACATATTATTGCCAAAACTGTGAAAAAAAATTTTATTTTTTTTTACAACTTTTGGGGATTATTTTTATGATTAATGAGAATGTATCTATCTATATGTGACATCAAATTAAAGCCCTGTTTGCCCTCTAATAATTGATGTATATAATATGTGTTGGTGCAGTAAATGAGAGAGATGCAAATTGCGTTTGAACACAAACAGCAAAAAATGCAAAAAATGGCTTGTGTCCTTAAGCATAAGACAAGCTTCTGAAGCTGTGTCCTTAAGGGGTTAAAGTCTGTTGCCTTTGTGGGGGTTTATCCCACTGTAATCTTTTTGTTCCCCTCACAATTTCTATATTCTATCTGTTCCCCCATTGAATGTTAGAGATTTGTATTTTTTTTGTTTTTTCTCCCAACAATTTACATTTTATTCCTATTTGTGTAATTGATTTTATTTAATCATATATTGAAATTAGGGTAGACTATTCCTTTTTTTTTTTTTGTGCATTGAGTTACATACAAGCTTGTATTGTATAACCGACAGTTCAGACAAGCATCAGAGTTGCAAACATCACAATACTGTGTCATGTCATGTAGATTATCTGCACTTTTTTTTAATGAAAGTACGATCAGGTTACTCAGCCATGTCTAAATACAAGAAATGAGAATGTCAAAGCTTAAGCTAGCCTAGGATATTTAACTAGAAATGCTTACAGTTAGTTTCATGTTTTATATAACTAGTGCGACATGGAGGTGCGAGTAGGTATGAATTTAAGTTGACATGCTAATAAACCGTGATAGGCTAATATTCCACTGGGTACCACACACCTCAGAGATAAAATTAAGAGAAAATTTAAGAGAACTCCATGTTACATGTATACCACTGGAAGTGATGTGTAAGGGAAGGGTCCCTGCACCAGGTAGATGTTAGATCAACATTGTAGAGAACAAAAATAAGGGTGGCTAACCAGCTGAACATGAATTTGATTAATGCAAGCAGAGTATGCATATGAGCGTTTGTGGGTATGTCCACAGGGCACAAAACCCAAAATACTGGTATTGGTGTGTCTCTGAAAGACAGGGTAGTGTTTCAACGAGCGGTTCCTGCCTGCCCCATGTTGATCATGTTGTTCCATCTTTTCCTGCTTCATGTATGGCAGCATCATTGCCTCTCCCAGTCTTGAGCTCGGATGTGGAGTAGTGGGTGGGTGGTCGGCTGAAGCCCGGCCCTGGGGACCAAGAGCTGGACGTGTGTCTTGTGTGTTCCCAGCTCAGTAGAAGAGCGGCTGATCAAGGCCTTGCCAGGAATTAGGTTGGTGTCATCCTGGTGCCTGTGGACCCTCCTCCAGGGTGTATGCGAGGTGCCATGTCGCCTGGCTCGAGGTTTGGGTAGGTGAAACCTGGTGGCTGGTTACAGGTGCCGCTGGGGCCAGGAGTAACTCAGTCCCTGTTGTGGCAGTGAGGGTTGGCTCTGTGGGCCGCGAGGCGGTTAGTTAGTGCGGCGGACATTTTAGATTTGGGGCGCTGGAGGGCGTCCTGCAGGCTTTGTTGGAGACCGCTTCGGTACCTTTGGAGATAGGGATAACCCCCCCAGTCCAAGGGGGGGGGGGTGGAAGGGACCTGTGAGATGTGGCACATAGCAGTCGTGTGGCAGCCAGGTAGGTGAGCAGGGCGGCGGCTGTCCATCCTGCTTCTCTCCCAAGAAGGCCGCAAGCTCCAAAGCTTTGTCTAGCCTGTGGGGCCCCAAAACTCCCGATCTCAGAGGTTGCTGTTGTGCCAACTTCAGCTCGGACACTATGCTGTTCCCCTCCGGCTCGGATTTAGGCTGTGAGCCCAGATTATTAGTCGAAAAGGCCACTGTCTGCAGGAATCTCTCCCGCATGTGACCTGTCAGCATTGCGGGCAGGCCGCGCCCCTCTTCCCCTCCCCCACCCCCCGGACTATACATTTTTCAATGTCCCTTAGAGATGTGCACAGGTGAAAAATTTGTTGTGATTCGTTTAGTTAATTTTTAAATTTGGGGTTGTCTGAAATTTGGAAATGATCGATTTCGAATGAATAAAACAAAATGTTTCGTGCCATTGTTCCAAAGACTACTACTGCCAAGGTCTCAATTTAATAAGCTTTTCAAATGATTTAATATTGTTTGGAAATCTTTTCAAATGATTTATCTACAAAAATTCCCATAGACCTTAGTGGGTACTTCTGTAGTTAAATAGTTTGGAAAGTTTTTCTAACAGTATTGAATCATTTTGGAAGCTTTTTAAATCGAGGCACAAATTTAGGTCGCTGTTTAGCAGATAGCTCTGTAATTTAATATCCTTAAAAATGGTAATCCCACATAAGGGGAATTAGGAAACTAGATAGTTTGGGAACTATCTACTAAATAGCTGAAAGATCTAATTTAATAAAAGGGCTTTTTTTTTTCCCCTCTAAATTTTGAGCTTTCATATGTTTAGTAGTTATCTCCCTAAATTGCTATCCTTATGTGGGATTGGCATATTTAATGATATCTAATAAGGAAGCTATCTGCTAAACAGAGTCCTAATTTATTATCCTTAAACATGGCAATCCCACATGGAAGTTCCTAAATATGGTACCCTTAAATATGATAATCCCACATGAAGAAACCAATCTAGGGAGCTATCTGCTAAACAGCACTCTAACTTGAAATCCTTGAATATAGTACTCTATAGTAGACAGTTCCCTAATTTGGTATACTTAAATTGACAATCCTACACAAAGTTACCAAATTAGGGTGCTATCTACTAAACTTGAATGGTGGTTGCTTAGTAGCCAAGATCCTAATTTGCTATGCTTATGAAATACTTTGTTTCACTTAGTTTCAAGATAGTTCGTTTTCAGGATGGTTTTGTTTCGTAAAGAATTCAGAGATTCTGCCGCTTGTACAAATGTCTGTCTCTGGTTACACAATAGTGTTTCCCTTATTCATGGAAATTATTTTATGATATATTTAATGCTTCTAAGTATACTGTTGAAGTGGTTGTTGCTATTGTTGGTCCATTAATATTCCCTAGTGTGATTGGTATGATATTTAAAGGACATTTAGACATATTCCATTACATTTCAGAGTGTAATTGATTGTATCTGTCTTACAGATAGCAGTGAAAGTGACCTGGAGTTATCAACTGTGCGTCATCAGCCGGAGGGACTGGAGCAGCTTCAAGCTGTCACAAAGTTTACAAAGAAGGAGCTTCAATCCTTATACAGAGGCTTCAAAAATGTGAGCATCAATGACACCATAACCCACCATTATACTGCAGAGATGAAGCTGAGATATGTATAATTTCACCCTTGATAAGTGGCACTACCTTCTTCTGTAATTGGTGACAGACCTGATCTCTGACAGTTGACTGTGATATATACTGCCTCTTCGTCAAATGCAAAGATGTCCACCTGCTGTCCTTAATGTAACTGACAGAGTGTCTTCGTATGTACTAAAGCTGGCAGGTGACAGCGATGTAGGTAACATAGCTAATAACACTACTTTTACAAATGATACTGACATTATTTGACCTTCTAACACTCGCAGCAATACTGCCTTGCTCTCAACCCCAATGAACCATATATACGTGTAAGTTTTAGAAGAAAAAAAAACTAAAGAAAAAATAGTTTTGGGAAATGTGAAAATGTGAGTTGATAAGACAATACTGAAGGTGTGTGAGTCCTGGAATGTGCTGGTAATTATTAAAACCTTGATTACGATAGCATGTACCTTTTCCAAATATGATTTTATGTTTATAATTCCTTAGGCTAGTGATATGCAGCAATGTTGTATGCTATGCAAGGAGAAATGAGAAGCCAAAATTGCCCAACTTTGAATTTTCTCTGAAATTGTTTGTAAATTGTAGAGTTCATGTTATTGATAACTATAGGCTATAGCTAGAGGAGCTAGTTGACCCATCCATAAGAAAAAAGTTATATAATGCATTGGGAGTGGGAAAATATGTAGTTCTTAATTGTAAAACAATTGAGTCTAACATAGTTAATAAACCTACAACGGTGTAGTATGGAGAATGTAGGGTGGCTTTGTTATGGTACCTGTGTGCACGACCACTCTGGAGCCATTCTAAAATCCTGGTATAAATCGAACATAAAGAAAAACATTTTAATAAAATAAAATGGCTTTCCCTTATAGTTTCTGCTATGTTTGTTGCTCATGAATCTGTTTGTATTTACATGCTTTATCAGCATCAGAAATTTACTTTCCCATAAATGCATCTCCTGCAGAAATATATTTTTGAACTTCCTACAAAAGTGTCAGGAATACAAAGAGACCCAACATGCAGTGTGAAGTAAAATAGAATAGGTAATGTATACTAGACCTTAGAGTGGCCGGGCTAACAAAGCAAGAACAGAGAATAGTCAGGTAGAAAACAAGGTCAAGGATTCCAGAAATCAGAATTAGCAAATATACAAAAACAAAGTCACAAGGAAAAAGAGAGAAGAGAATAGTCAAAACACAGTCAGAACCAGAAATAAATCAACTATATAACTCACTATAGGGAACAATAGTTTGAACCACAACAGGGCGATGATCTAAAGCCTATGAGCCTTTTTTTTTTTTGTGGTTCTTTAATTTTATAGCCATGCCCCTAAAGTGTTCGAATTTAAGCAGTTTAGTGGTCTGTGATGTCATCGACATCATGAAGTTGACGCACATGTGCAGTGTCATGAAAAGAGTTGTAGCTACAGTGGCCAGCTGACGAGATAGCGAGGACCTTGAGGACAAGCCACCTCCACATGGATTAGGTTTCCAGGCTGTGACCCAGTCTGGCAACACTGGACAGGTACCTTGACAAGAGGTCGCTATCCCTGTATAGCAGCTAATTTTAGATGTCTGGAATTCAATATGTTGGTGTGTGGTGCTATAGTTGTGGTGTCCTTGGATCCCTACGTGCTGAAGAGGAGCAATGATATCTAAGTGAGCAAAGATCCACGACTAAACTTTTAGCATACTTCACAAATGTGTCCACAGGACATGTCTATTCCATATCCTTTAGGGAGATGGTGACATCAGATGGAAGTTTAAATAGGTGGAGCTATCCTTTATTTGTGTACTTGTAGAGAGAAGGAGAAGGCCCTAAAATTATATTTGTATAGAAACTTGGTTGCAGGTGTTAGGGCTTCCTCAGTCAGTAGAGAGGACAAAAAGTGAAACATCTTGATAGATCATTACTTTATGATCATTAAGTGGCCAGGCTGGAGAGGTAATAAGTGCCTAATTTGAAGTATGGTTTTATAACACAGCATATAAAATCCCTAGGGGTATATTGGTTGACAGTGTAATGCTTTGTCAGAGGTTGTCACGACAGATATATCAAATTCCATCTGGTTAGTGTTATATTATAATATCCTTTATGATTATTTGTGTGAGTGCGAGATCTTTTTGTTGTGGAGGTGAGCAGAAGGACTCATAGGCAGCTGTGGAATGTGAGCTGGAGGAGGGAGATGTCATTTAGGGCACTAAATTAGGGTCTGTGTACGAGCTGAAATAGCTATCTTGGACCACCGTTATACCATGCATCTTTATGCGTAATAATGTAATAATTTCAGTACAATATGCAATATCTTTATTATGAAATGTAATTGAAAAGGGGTAAAGATTACAGAGTAAGGTGACAATATAATACATGCTCATGCTGTTGACAGTGAAAGAACATACATAAAACTTTCCAAAGTGCATGCAAATAACATCGAGATTACCTAACTGCTTAAAGGACCACTATAGTGCCAGGAAAACATACTCGTTTTCCTGGCACTATAGTGCCCTGAGGGTGCCCCCACCCTCAGGGACCCCCTCCCGCCCGGCTCTGGAAGGGGGAAAGGGGTAAAAACTTACCTATTTCCAGCGCTGGGCGCTTGCGTGCTCTCACTGTGAAAATCACAGTGAGAAACGCGCCTCTAGTGGCTATCAATGAGACAGCCACTAGAGGATTAGGGGGAAGGCTTAACCCATTCATAAACATAGCAGTTTCTCTGAAACTGCTATGTTTATTAAAAAATGGGTTAACCCTAGAAGGACCTGGCACCCAGACCACTTCATTAAGCTGAAGTGGTCTGGGTGCCTAGAGTGGTCCTTTAATCTGACAGGGATAGAATACAGAGCAACAGCGAACAAACACTCACAGGGAAGGGGCATGGGAGGCCTACAAATGTATACAGTACACTGTGATGCTGCTTAGATAAAACCATGTGTTTCGCCATACTGTAATCCTGGTAAATCATGGCTGTGCAGGGTCAGTGGAGGTGTTTTCTTCTCCTAGTATATGCCTCCATGACTGTGCTTCCATCTTGTCGCCCTGTGTCTGATCCAGGGGGCATAGGAATCTCATATCACCACCACAACTATCAGACACAGCACTGTAAGCTTGGC